TAAATTGAAACAGACATTATAAAGATTTCACATGTGAAATTTAAAAATTTTCTGATGCATAAAAGTATTTTTAATCTTAAAATGAAAATTACATTGCATGATAGATAGGCAAGATGTGAAAAAAAAAAAGGCATGAGAGAAACGATGCTTTACAAACCTTATGACTTGATAAAGAAAAAAGAATTAGATATTTTTGTATAAAAGCATTGTAATGTTTACTGATAATCTGCCAAATTTCATTAACATTTGCTTACTAATTTAAAAGTTATAGCATGAAAACTATAACAAGCACAAAATGGGTGTGAGGTCGTCCCTGTATTGAAAGGATTAATAACCCGCAAACAGCTACTGTTGTATTTCATGTAGTATTATATGGATACACTTGGATTCTTTATGGTTTACACCCTCATATTTGAAGACATTGTTAAGGATGAAAGCACTAAAATCCATGGCAAAATTTACATCAGCCTCCTAATTTACTTCACAATTGGCATAGGTATTTAAAAGACAAATAAAGGAAACAAAATTTTTGAAAAACTAAATGAATCAGTGTTTTTTAAGCACAGAAACAATACGGTTGTCATTCATTGTTTGGTATTAGTAAACCATTGCATAATAGCTAAAAGAGTGATTTAACATGCCAATAAACTTAGTAAGGATACCAGTGGCTAACTGTAAATAGAAACTGTAATAACTTAGCTCTAGTTCTCTCCCAGTCAAACTTACTGCATCCATTTCATTTTAGATTCACCTCTGTTAGAAAGTATGTACTTTATTTTTAAGAGTTTTAATTTGAATATTTGTTATCAACGGAACTGTTTGTTTAAATAAAGAAATTTCTAAGTAAGAATGTGCTAGTTACAATCTTGATTATGGAATATCTTGTGAGCAAAAAAAATTATAATGTTAATATTTAGAGAAATTGATGGAATGTATTCTGAGTTTCCATTAACATTTCTACTGATAAATACATTTTGGTGTAATTACATTTGTAAATTTTGGTTTAATAGGACAGTAAAAAAACTCTAATATAAAAAATATCAACAAAACCTTGAGCACAAATCTTTGATGTTTGTGCCTAAAAAAATTTGTCGTAAAAGAGGAATTCGTAGAATTATTTAGAACTCGAACATGTTTTGGTCTTTTAATCATGTGACATTTAAATAGAAGCTACACGTGTATTTTCTATATGTTAAAGTGAAATGGAATATTTTTTTGTATGCTTGTTGTTAACATGATGCTATGGAATAAAACATCAGTGCACTTTGTATAATACATGTTATAGATTTGTTCATATGTTATTTTATAACATACATGGTCACAACCACCTGTAAGCAAAAGTGAGGTGGATACAAGTTTTATTAAATGTTGATCCATAGCTTTCAAAATGTTTTGCATTAAATTACTCAAGATTTGAAGTGTTATTTCAAAGTAAAGACATTTTGTAGAAGTTGCATAAATACAGGGGTGAAATTCTGCCAATAATCACTGGTATTTGATACCAGAACTTGTTTGTGCTTTTCATCTTACCTGCATGCCTTCCATCATACAATCGGAAAGCAGACACTTCACAACTTGCAGATTGTGTGATTGATTGGTTTAAAAAAAAGGGGGGGGGAGAATATATCCAACTGATGCATTTTATTGGCACCTGTCCCTGATGTTACAGTATACTGTTGTTTGTCATTCAAAGATATGGGAAGCAAGAAAAAAAATATTAAGTGTTTAACCCACTGACTGTGGCTGTTCTAAATGCACATGGAATTTTTGCAAGCCATACACTATATGTGGCACATACACACTCATTCAACTGCTGGAGCCAGACTGTACCTTATACGGTGAATCACCAGTCAATGGGTTAATGTATACTTATTTCTTTAAAACCATGAAAACAATGAATATCATAGGAAAAACAAACTATTTTCTGTGGCAGATCAACTAAAATCTATGTATTTGCTGTGAGTGTTATTTTTTATTAACTGTATTATACATTACATGTGAACAAAATTCTTCATTATATCCACATATGACTACTGGCACTTTTTGTTGAATTTCAACCATGCATAAATATACACATCAGAGAATAGTTAATAAGTTTATGTGTAATAAACCTTTATAACATGTTTATTAACTTATTTTTTTAGAGATTTGGTAATATTTACTTTTTCTTGTGTTTATTGATGTTTTTTTGCATAGCAGTCATGTGAAAAATGTGATATAAACTAAATCATTAACTTTATTCAATGTATATTCACGCACACGCACGCACGCACACACACACACACACACACACACACACACACACACACACACACACACACACACACACACACACACACACACACACACACACACACACACGACAGAGGA